AAGGAAGAATCAGATAGCTTCCCTGGTGAATTCTACTAAACATGTAAAGAATTACACCAATGTTTCTCAAAATTTCCCCAAAAATAGAAGAGGAAAGGATACTTCCTAAATCATTCTATGAAGCCAGTATCACTTCAATACCAAAGTCTGACACAGACACCACAAGAAATGAAAGTTATAAACCAATATCCCTGTGAGGCCTTCACTGCACAGTCCTGATGAACTAAATCACTGACTTTGGGTGATGCCAGCTCCAGCCCCTCAGCACTCTCTCCTCCCAGGGTTTGGGGGCTAGGGGCTCAAAGTTCTCACCCTCTAATCACATGGTTGGTTCTCCTGGCAACAAGCCCCTACCCTTGGGTGGGAACCAAATGTCTCCTCCTCAACATAACAAGATACCCATTTCGCTTCTATGGCTCTGAAACTGAGTACAAAAGCATGTTAAAGGAATTATACACCATGACCAAGTAGGATTTATCCCAGAATGCAAAAGTGGTTCAAACAAAAAATGATACACCACATTAACACAATGAAGAATAAAACCCACATGATCATCTCAATTGACACAGAAAAACTATTTGACAAAATATTTCACCTTTTCATGATGAAAACACTAAGAAAACTAGAAATACAAAGGAATTTCCTCAAAATGATAAAAGGCATTTATGGAAAACCCCCAGCCAATCACACTTGTTTGTTGAAACAATGAAAGCTCTCACCCAAGATCGGGAACAAGACAAAGATGTCTGCTTTCATCATGGCTATTCAACATTTTGTTGTAGACAGAGCAATTAGGCAAGAAAAATAAATAAAAGGCATCCAAATTGGAAAGAAAGAGATAAAACTATATTCACAGGTGACATAATCCTACATATATAGTAAATCCCAAAGAATACACACACATGCACACACACAAAACCTGTTAGAGTAAAAAAAAAATTCGACAAAGTTACAGAGTACAAGGTCAATACACAAAAATGCATGTTTTTACACACCTGCAATAAGTAATATGAAAAGGAAGTTAATTTCATTTACAATAGTATCCAAAATAGTAAAATACCTAGCAATAAATTTAACAAAGAAGGTGTGTCAGCTCCCCCCTGCCTCTGACCCGCAGATTTGGAGGGAACGAGAGGGAATGCTGAAGATCTGAAAGGCCAGCCAGGGGACTCAAGGCGTTGCAGCACAAGAGTAACGCCGAAAAGGCACTCCTCATATATTTATTGAGCAAATGAACTTAAACATCTGAAGAATTCTGAGTAGGGGGTTCAACACATGATCAACACACAGTCATTATCTGACCTTGAGTCTAGCCCAAGGGCATGACGCTCCTTAAGGATAACGAAACCATGTGAGGGTGGTCACGAGTTGGAGGAACTGTTTTGGCTCTAATCATTCTGTTTTTGATCACGCATCAAGAGTTGGAGGAAAAACAATGAAGTCATATGTATCTGAACATTTCATTTCTATATTTCTTGATTTATATATTAATCCCATTAATCCCACAAAGGTGAATGATTTGTTCTCTGAAAACTATAAAATATTGCTGAATGAAGCTCTAATTAAATGGAAAAATGTTCGTGGTGTAAGATCTGAAAAATCAAAAGTTAGCATAAGTGCATAAGTACAGCCATCTTAAAGGGTTAAACACCACCCTCTAGCCTAGGAGAAGGAAAATTATTAGAATCTTGAAAANAGTCAGCCAGTGTTAAATGTAGTGACCTTCAGTTAGCTAACCTCAAATCAGTTAATCATGAACACCAGGTGGTGGGCAGCTGCCGCCTTCAGACTGCTAACCTTGGTCAGATAGTCATGCATACCAAGTTTATCTTGCTAAAACACTGTGTAAGAAAATACTGTCTTTTTGAAAGTGCTATGCTATAAAAACCTCTGGCTTAGACTATTCGGGGTCCTTGTTGAGACCCGCTGCGACGGGTAACTTGGACCCCTGCTAGCTGGTTCCTGAATAAATTCCTCTTGCTTGTTGCATCAAGAGACGTCTTTCGTGAGTGATTTGGGGCGGCGTCCTCCTCTGGGAGAATCCAACAGTGGATTGGATGACTTAATATTGTTAAGATGGCAACACTACCCAAAGCAATCTACAGATTCAATACAACCCCTATCAAAATTCTATTGGCTTTTTTGCAGAAATGAAAGAGCTTATCATCAGTTCATATGGAACTGCTGGGGGCCCTTAGTAATAGCCAAAATAATACTGAAAAAGAAAACAAAGTTGGAGGACTCACACTTCCTGATTTCAAAACTTACTATGAAGTGACTGTGATCAAAATAGTTTGACATATAGACTGTTGGAATAGAACTGAGAGACCAAAAACAAACCTTCACATACATGGTCAATGGATTTTTGATACGTTGTGTCATCACCTCTTTCTCCCATACTTATCAGTGAGGTTATTTCATACATTTGTAAAACTGTTAGATTGTTTAGTCAGATTCTGCATTCCATCCTGGGACTGCACCAACCTCCCAAGAGATTTTTTGTTAATCTGCACACATAACATTCACTCTTTGTGCTGTGACATTCTATGGGTTTTGACAAATGCATAGTGTCATATATCCTCCAGGACGGAATCACACAGAATAGTTTCACCACCCTAAAAAACCCCTTGGGCTTCCTCTATTTAACCCTTCTTCCCTCCTACCATCAAACCTTTACCAACCATCAATCTTAATGTTGATAGTTTTCCTTTTCTGGATTGTTGTCAAATTAAAATCTTACAGTATGTACGTTTTTCAGACTGGTTTCTTTCACTTAGCAATATGCATTTAAGATTTATCAGTGTGTTTTCATGGCTTGATAGCTCTTTTTTATTGCTAAATAATATTCCACTGTATAGATATACCATGGTGTGTTTCTCCATCCCTATTGAAGGACATCTTGTTTGCTTCTAAATTTTAGCAATAAATGATAAAGCTACAAACATTCACATGCAGGTTTTGTGTGGATTTTTAGCATTCACATCAGTTGAGTAAATACCTAGAAGTGACATTGTTGGAGTGAATAGTAAGACTTTAGCTTTGTAAGAAACTGTCAAACTGTCTTCCAAAGTGTCTACACCACAATTCTCTATTTAAAACAATAATTTAAAAATATTTAAATTGACAACTATATAGTTGGTGTTATCCCCATGTTACCACTGAAAATAAGTACACCAAGGTAAAGTGGCTTGTCCATAGTGTTTAGGTAAAAGCCACGTGTGTCTACCTGCAAAGACTGGTTCTTCACCACAATCGTGATAGGCTCAGTGTTTTACAAAGCAATACGTGAGTGGGCAGATCTAATGGTTAAAAGCCATTTTCCTTTATGGAAGTAAAATCTGCCTTGCATTGTCCTGGAGTCACACAACACTCCACAAGACAGAGAGGAAGGAACTAAGTGTTGCATGCCCTAGTCTGTCCACACTCATCAGGCAGTGTGATTTCAGCAGTGGGCTCTGCAGACAGGTTGCTGGGTTAAAGTCTTTTTTCCACTATTTAGCAGCTGATTGACCTTGGGTGAGTCCCTTCACTTCCCTGTGACTCAGTTTTCCCACATGTAAAACTTGGTGCCTAATGAGCTCAATTTTGAGCTCTACAGCTGAATATACAATTGCTGTCCTGAACTCCTTCACGCATGTCTTCCACTGACCCTTCAAAATCAATGTGAGAAAAACAGGCTCCCTCCTGTGTAGGACCAGCTTCATGATTTGCAAGGAACAGTGTGAAATGAAAATGCAGAGCTCCTTGTTAAAAAACTGTTAAGAATTTCAAGATAGTGCTGGGACATTGGACCAAGTGTGGGGCTATGGGTAACTGTCCAGGTCACACGCCTGTGACACCAGCCTTACTCCCACGTTCCTTTCATGAACCAGCCACCTTCAGGTCCATCCGTCTCCTCCTGCTCAATCATACCCTCCATGTTCCAGTCATAATGGACTTACACCATCCTCTGAATCTCCTCAAGTTTTGCCTCTGGTCTCTTTCTCCTTCCTCTTTGTCATTCCCGATCCTTTTGTCCTCAGATTCTTTTTGAAACACTCCTCAGTCTTCCGCCGTGAACACCACAACCCTGATTTTCCTCACACCTCAATGGCAAGTTCCTTCAAAGCCTTTGACAGCTCACCTTCCTCTACCGGGTTTTCACTGTGGAATCACTGGGGTTTTATTTTATTTTAGCTTTAAATAAAATTTACATTGTTCAAAACAAGCACTGGCTTAACATCTACATCTACCTCTAAAGGGTAAGTTCAATGATCTTGGGCGAGGACACATTCATAAGGGCCTCAAATTTAAAATTTCGAACCCATCTCCAAATGGAGTCCAGAAGCCTGAAGGAAGAAAACAGCACACTACTTCAAAATTTTATCTGCTTCCCAGACCACACCACTTTGGTGTGAATATTTGCATACAACTTGTAATTATCTTTGAGAAACAAAACACTGAATTTATGTGTACATGTTAAGTGTTCAAACGTGCTAAATGTACATTTAAAACATACCACAAGTTCTCTGCTCAGTCTGTCATCATTTTTCAACCCACCCCTAAGCTTCATAAAATATCAATGGCCTCTCGAGTCTCTATTACCTCTGTGGGGGGAAAAGGCAGCTTTTGCTCCCTTTATCCACATAACAGCGAACGAACCAAAGGAAAAGCCAAACGTTGGCGGAGAACCGAGCGCGGCCTCTCTTGGAGTCCCAGGTTGCCGCTTCTTCCCCGGCGAGAGCCGAATTCCGACGGCGCCTAGCAACCGTCACCGTGACAACGCAACTCGCGTTCGCGCACGTCAGAGCGTGGCTTCATTGTGCATCCCAGAAGGCACTGCGCTTCTCTAAGCCCGCCGCTCCTCTGGGTCCCAGCACGCAAGGAGGCTCACACGGCGAGCTTTTGTCGTCAGGATGATTATAGAAATGCCTGAATATCTGCGTTTGTTTTAACATTGAGACGGTCTGCAACAGCTCATAGATAAGAAAGAGCACGAAAGACTGGCCTTAGTGATTTTTTCAGAGGGTTTAAGGGTAAAGCTCAGGGAAGGAAGCCGCATATTCCCCTAGACTCGCTCAGGCACCCCAGAGGGCCGCCCGCGCAGACCCGTGGCCACGTGGGGCCTGGGGCCCTCGGCAGGGCACGTGCGGGAGGAAGTGGCGCTGTCTCCGCGCGGCGCTTGGAAACCTCTCAGCGTGGAGCTATGGGGGGCTTGGAGAAGAAGAAGGTGATTGGGGGTAATACCGGGGCGGAGTGGCAAAGGGACGCCGTAAGGTGGGAGACGGGAGCTACGGAGCCTAGAGACTGCGCCTGTCCCCGGCCTTGGGTTCCTCTGGGTATAGAAACGTCAGGGATCAACGCGTCGGGAGACGGCCGTCAGAAGGGGTTGGACGAGGGGCGAGGACGGCAGTGCTTGTCCGGTGATCTCCGGGAAAGAACCCCGGACTAGGGTGTAAAAGAGTTGAGGTTACCAAGCAAAGCTTCCCTCCAAAGGCAAGCTGAGTCCAAGGACAACTCTTTACTAAGAAAGTAATCAACATAGCGTAAAGTTAATCATTACGTCGAGCTCATCATCTCTAAAACTTACTTGCTTTTCTGTTGAACCAGGCCATGCCCTGGACACTGAGAGATGGAGATGTGAACAATCAGATGTGCTCCCTGCCTACCCCGAGCTCACTTTATACTGGGGAAGATGGAAGTAAACAACCAAGTAAAATGATCGCAGGTTGTTAAGCAAACGGGGGCTAACGGTGGATAAAATTAAAGGATACTTACTTCAGTTAGTGGTGTCTTGGGAGGTTTCTCTGTGTCATAACATTTAAGCTGAAATCAGAAAGATCGAAAGATCTCGGATAGGTTCTAGGTCATGGGAGTGCTTAATGGGCAAGCCTGGCAGGAGTAACTAAGTGCCTTGACCTTTAGGTAGGAAAGGCTTGCTGTGTGCAAGGAATAGGATGGCGGGGGTATAATGAACCAAGGGAAGAATTGGGTCTGGTGAGGTTGGGCTTCGACAGGGATGAGATCGTGCAAGGCCTATCATGAAAAGATTAGAGAAGGGATGAGAACAAGGAAGATGTTGGCCTTAAGTGCTTATTTAAGCTTGAAAATTTCTATTGCTAATTTGTGTTTACCCCAACACAGTATTGAGCACTAGCACATAGTGACTGGAACAACAAAAATGTAAGACGGAAAACTTTCCCTTCCCTGCAGCACAGATGCAGATATGTAAACAAATCATTACAGTTTTTAAAGCTGAGTTCATAACCGTTTTGAGCGAGATAACACTTTGTTGGAAAGGCTGTCCCGTGCATTACATGATGTTTGGCAGCATCCCTGACCTCTTACCCATTAGATGCCAGTAGCACCCAATAACCTAAAATGCCTTGTTCTTCTCCCCCACCCCCACGACCCAGGGAATAAAGTCAGCCCAGTTGAAAAATATTTATCCCCTTAATGTTTAAAAGCATAAGCATCGTGGCATAAGGCAAGAAAAACACTTTTAATGAAAATTCACCTTTCTGAGACAGTCTGAAACTCCTCTTTGTATCCCCAATAATGTCTGAAGGAAAGAGTGAATAAAGGGTGTGTTTGTGACTGGGGTTATTCATAAATAACCCTTAGGAGGCTACAGGTTTCTCTCTTTAGAATTAGACCTGGCCATTAAGGCTCCTGCTGTTATTCCAGAGAGAGAACTTGTTTGGAAAGGACATACTTGGTTAGTGCAAAGTTCTTAGGACATTGGCACTGCCACACTTCATCAGGGATACAGAGATGTGATGTGAGGCAGCATCTTGGCACCACAGACATCCACACCCATACGCTTCTTGGGGGTAGATAGACATTAGGCCGTTTGTCTTTACTGCTTCCAGTGCATCTAGCCTAATGCTTGGAACACAGTAGGAGCACTATTATTGCTGTTGAATGAATGAAGAAGGAGAAAGGCTTTGTGGCTTAGAACATGCATTCTCTGATAGTCACCCCCAAGGAAACAAAAATAGGGGAGGAGGAAAAGGGATCTTAGATATTATAATAGTTGTGTGTTCCTCTAAAGCGTCACATTATATAAACAGATCTATGGTTTATCTTTGATATTATCATTTCATGGGGCTGTGAGAGGGGGCGGCTAAGAGTAGAAAGATCTAAAAAGGCTTCTGGTGATGGTGGGGTGGTTAAAATGAAAAAAAAAAAGAAGTTGAGAACAGTGGCCAAGTGGACTAGATACTCAGGCTCTGGACTTGGACCTAGGTTTAAATCCCAGCTCCAACTCTTAAAAAGCTGTGTGACTTAGGTAAGGTTATTTCATTGAGGCTGTTTCCTCCCACATGGCAGGGGGCAGTTTTAATGGTACCCACCTCACCATTGTTGTAGGCTTAAATAATGTCTGGAAATCATTAATCATAATGGTCAATATTTAGAGCTACTAATAAGTGTTTGGCACAGCACCTAATCCGCAGCAACCTCATGGTCCTGACATCAAGCAGGTGTATGTGTCTTTTACACTGGCTACTGCAAGGATGTGCGGGAGAGATTATTCACACAGGCCTCCTTCCCTACAGCATTTCCTGTCCCAGAAGGCTCTTGGCCACTTATCCATAGTGGTAGATGCTTCTGGCATGAGGCATTGCCCAGAGATGGATGCCATTCACTGCAATCATTGCTGATGGAGAATTGGTTTTTTTTTCTCCCCAGTATGAACGAGGCTCTGCCACCAACTACATCACCCGAAACAAAGCCCGCAAGAAGCTGCAGCTGAGCTTGGCTGACTTCAGGTAAGGTGGAAGGGAGTAGAACAGTGGGACCTGGCGATACCTGGGCAGTGAATTGCATAGTGAAAACTCAGCACATCCCTGTCTTAAGCTTTGTTGCTACAAACTCTGTCTGGAGTTCTGTTACTCCTTGTGTTTCTTGCCTGGCTTCACTTGAGTGAGCTGTGCTTTGCCTGGTGTGGTCTTGGGGAAGCTGCCATCCTGTGTCATCAGAATGGGCCCACTGCTGTTCTCTCTCTGGGTCTTTGTCACCCATCCCCTCCCTTCTGGTGGAAGAGACCCCTGGTGCTGCAGCTAGGGATGCTCAGCTGCAGATAAAGAGTCCAGTACAGACTCCTCTGCATCCTGTAGGCCCTACTGCTTGGCCTATTTTTAGTCCTACTGGTGCACCCAGCACTAACCCCCTTATTGCCTTTCTCCTTCTTTTTCTTGGACCTCTTTAACTTTTTTATTGTTATTTTTATTTTTTTTATAATGCTTTTATTTTGATATCATTAATGTACAATTACATGAGCAACATTATGGTTACTAGACTCCCCCCAGTATCAAGTCCCCACCACATACCCCATTACAGTCACTGTCCATCAGCGTAGTAAGATGCTATAGAATCACTACTTGTCTTCTCTGTGTTCTACTGCCTTCCCTGTGTCCCCACCACCACATTATGTGTGCTAATTGTAATGTCCCTTTTTCCCCCTTATCCCTCACTTCCCACCCATCCTCCCCAGTCCCTTTCCCTTTGGCAACTGTTAGTCCATTCTTGGGTTCTGTGAGTCTGTTGCTGTTTTGTTCCTTCAGTTTTTGCTTTGTTCTTATACTACACAGGTGAGTGAAATCATTTGGTATTTGTCTTTCTCCACCTGGCTTATTTCACTGAGCATAATACCCTCTAGCTCCATCCATGTTGTTGCAAATGGTAGGATTTGTCGTCATCTTATGGCTGAATAATATCCCGTTGTGTATATGTACCACATCTTCTTTATCCATTCATCTACTGATGGACACTTAGGTTGCTTCCATATCTTGGCTATTGTAAATAGTGCTGCGATAAACATAGTGGTGCATATGTCCTTTTGAATCTGAGAAGTTGTATTCTTTGGGTAAATTCCAAGGAGTGGGATTCCCTAGTCAAATGGTATTTCTATTTTGAGTTTTTTGAGGAACCTCCATACTGCTTTCCACAATGGTTGAACTAATTTACATTCGCACCAGCAGTGTAGGAGGGTTCCCCTTTCTCCGCATCCTCGCCTACATTCGTTGTTGTTTGTCTTTTGGATGTTGGCCTTCCTAACTGGTGTGAGGTGATAGCTCATTGTGATTTTAATTTGCATTTCCCTGATGATTAGTGAGATGGAGCATCTTTTCATGTGTCTGATGGCCATCTGAATTTCTTCTTTGGGAAAGTGTCTGTCTAGCCCCTCTGCCCATTTCTTAATTGGCTCATTTGCTTTTTGTTTGTTGAGGTGTGTAAGCTCTTTATATAATTTGGATGTCAACTCTTATCGGATCTGTCATTTATGACTATTCTCCCATACTATATGATATCATTTTGTTCTACTGATGGTGTCCTTTGCTGTACAGAAGCTTTTTAGTTTGACATAGTCCAACTTGTTTATTTTTGCTTTTGTTTCCCTTGCCCGTGAAGATATGTTCATGAAGAAGTTGCTCATGTTTATATCTAAGAGATTTTTGCCTATGTGATTTTTCCTAACAGTTTTATGGTTTCATGACTTATATTCAAGCAATTGATCCATTTTGAGTTTACTTTTGTGTATGGGGTTAGACAATAATCCAGTGTCATTCTCTTACATGTAGCTGTCCTGTTTTGCCAACACCAGCTGTTGAAGAGGCTGTCATTTTCCCATTGTATATCCATGGCTCCTTTATCATATATTAATTGACCGTATATGCTTGGGTTTATATCAGGACTCTCTAGACTGTTCCATTGGTCTATGGATCTGTTCTTGTGCCAGTACCAAATTGTCTTGATTACTGTGGCTTTGTAGTAGAGCTTGAAGTCAGGGAGCATAATCTCCCCAGCTTTATTTTTCCTTCTCAGGATTGCTTTGGCTATTCATGGTCTTAGGTGGTTCCATATGAATTTTAGAACTATTTGCTGCAGTTTGTTGAAGAATGCTGTTGGTATTTTGATAGGAATTGCATTGAATCTGTAGATTGCTTTAGGCAGGATGGCCATTTTGACAATATTAATTCTTCCTATCCATGAGCATGGGATGTGTTTCCATTTATTGCTATCTTCTTTAATTTCTCTCATGAGTGTCTTGTAGTTTTCAGGGTATAGGTCTTTCACTTCCTTGGTTAGCTTTGTTCCTAGGTAGTTTATTCTTTTTGATACAATTGTGAATGGAATTGTTTTCCTGATTTCTCTTTCTGCTAGTTCATTGTTAGTGTATAGGAATGCAATAGATTTCTGTGTATTAATTTTGTATCCTGCAACTTTACTGAATTCAGATATTAGATCTAGTACTTTTGGAGTGGATTCTTTTGGATTTTTTATGTAGGATATCATGTCATCTGCAAACAGGAACAGTTTAACTTCTTCCTTGCCAATCTGGATGCCTTTTATTTCTTTGTGTTGTCTGATTGCTGTGGCCAGGACCTCCAGAACTATGTTGAATAACAGTGGGGAGAGTGGGCATCCTTGTCTTGGTCCCCATCTTAAAGGCTTCTTGCTGTTCAGTATAATGTTGGCTGTGGGTTTGTCATATATGGCCTTTATTATGTTGAGGTACTTGCCCTCTATACTCATTTTGTTGAGAGTTTTTATCATGAATGGATGTTGAATTTTGTTGAATGCTTTTTCAGCATCTGTGGAGATGATCATGTGGTTTTTGTCCTTTTTGTTGATGTGGTTGGATGATGTTGATGGATTTTCAAATGTTGTACCATCCTTGCATCCCTGGGATGCATCCCACTTGATCATGATGTATAATCTTTTTGATGTATTTTTGAATTCGGTTTGCTAATATTTTGTTCAGTATTTTTTGCATCTGTGTTCATCAATAATATTGGTCTGTAATTTTCTTTTTTTTTAGGTGTCTTTGCCTGGCTTTAGTATTAGAGTGATGTTCACCTCGTGGAACGAGTTTGGGAGTATTCCCTTCTCTTCTACTTTTTGGAAAACTTTAAGGAGGATGGAAATTAGGTCTTCACTAAATGTTTGATAAAATTCAGCATTGGTCCAAGGGTTTTGTTCTTAGGTACGTTTTTGATTACCAATTCAATTTCCTTGCTGGTAATTGGTCTGTTCAGATTTTCTGTGTCTTCCTGGGTCAGCCTTGGAAGGTTGTATTTTTCTAGAAAGTTGTCTATTTCTTCTAGGTTATCCAGTTTGTTAGCATATAATTTTTCATAGTATTCTCTCATAATTCTCTGTATTTCTGTGGTGTCCGTAGTGATTTTTCACCTTTGTCCTTCTTGTTTGGATGCTGTCCCCTCTGCCTTTTATGTGGCTGATAATAAGCAAAGCCTCTCCTATCTCCCCATGCTGAAAGAGGAACCTGCCATCTGGCCCCTGTCAGCATCCTGATTGTTTTCCTTTCTGGTACTTGTGACAGTAAGTGTTTTCAGGGAACTTGTGATTGTCAGACCCCTGCACTAGCGTGTGAGTTCTCCAAGGGCAGAGCCCCACAGCCCCTATTCACTGCTATTTTCCATACCTGGCATTCCAATATTCAGCATGCTTACTGACAGAAGGACGGGTTTTTTTCTTCCAGGCGGCTCTGCATCCTGAAGGGCATTTATCCCCATGAACCCAAACACAAGAAGAAGGTTAACAAGGGCTCTACAGCGGCCCGAACTTTTTACCTTATCAAAGACATCAGGTTCCTCCTGCATGAACCCATCGTCAACAAGTTCCGGGAATATAAGGTGAGGCCTGGGCTCTAGGGTTTAGATGGGGCCCCTTGCCACTCTGCGATCCACTGATTGTGACCTGGGCAGTTGTTAAACCTCTCTGAGTAAGCCTATGTGAAGGGTGAGGGAATTTTACCTCTTGAGGGTTAACTGAAATCACATGTGCAGTAATCTTTTATGTAGAACCTGGCAAATGATCAGTGCTGTACCTGTTGCACCTTTCCTTAGGTTTTTCGGGGAGACTAAATGTACTGCCTCTGAGGCAAAGATGGTGCTATTCAGGGGCTCTAGCCCAAAGAAACCTCTCCTATTTGGGTTCTTTCTGGAGTTGTTCCCAGAGGATCAAGCTTTACATTCCACAGATAGAAACCATTAAATGCTTAAATACCATGGGAAATAGAAATCCATGTATAATAAATGCGAATTATTGAAAGTAAAGTAGAGCGCTGCTGCTGAAGCCTTTGCCTAGCAGCCGGTCCAGGCTGAGGCCCTTGGCTGGGAAGGGCAGAGCGCCATCTGGAGGCCACAGGAGACTGGCGGCCGCTGCTGCTGGCCCTCCTGCCCAAGCCCACTGAGCTGGGTGGCCGGCCCAGCTTTGTTGCCGGCTTTTGCAGCTACATAACTCTGCACTGGAAGAGGGCCCCCTGGGGGAAATGGTGTCTTGAAGCTGCTGTCCATGAGCCGAGCAGAGGCAGCCTTCGAGCTCTGCAGAGCACCGAGGGCAGCCTGGCCAGAAGTACTGGGAAGGAAGAAGTCAGGTGGTTTGGGGCCCCGGGCCCGTGACTGGCCTCAGCTGCATTTCCCTGTATGGCCTAGCTCCACCCATACACCCGTGGCTTGTTTCATGCCCACACAGACTGGTGTTGGGAACAAAGGCCAGCCCTCCTGACCCTGACCTGTCTCGCTGGCAAGTCGCGGCTTCTCTTCTCAGTTGGAAAATGGGGCTGAAGACATGTTTTCATGTAAACATGAGAGTGGATACCTGTGGGTGGATATCCCCTTTCACCCCTCAGAGGGGAGCAGCAGGCTGGCACTGCTCAGCGGAGAGAGCCGGTTTGCCAGTCCTTGGGCTTGGCTGTTCTGCAGCTCCCGGGCTGAGGAGGCAGGCGGCGCAGTCCGACAGCCATGGCCAGTGTCTGGAGGCCTTCAGAGTCCTCCCGCCCCACATGTTCCTCCTCCAGGAGAGGGGTCTCCAGGGGCCCTCGGCCCCAGCACAGTGGTGTCCTCCCCTCTTGCAGGTGTTCGTCCGGAAGCTCCGGAAAGCATACGGGAAGAGTGAGTGGAACACTGCAGAACGTCTGAAGGACAACAAGCCCAACTATAAGCTTGACCACATTGTCAAGGAGCGGTGAGTTGGGGACTCAGTCCTAGCACTGGGGGTACAGTGGGGAGCAAGGCCAACACCTGCTCAGGTTGCAGGTGTCCTTTTGGAGGAAGCAGACCAAAAAGCAGACAAAATGTTATGATGACCGCAAGTCACAGTGAGAGCCTGAGGGATGCTACTCGCATGAAGGGAACTGGGGGACGTATGTTACTCAGTATTGTCAGAGGGGCTGTCTTGAGGAGAGCCATTTGAGCCAGCCAGTGGGGAGCAAGTCCAAGCAGAGGAAACAGCAAGTGCAGAGGTCCTGTGGTGAGAGAGCTCAAGTTCTGCAGGGTGCCACCAAGTGCATGGTCTGACCTGGAAGATGTGGCTGGGTGCCTCTGATCTTAAGCGTTCTTTGCCCAGCCTTCTCAGCAGTCCCACTCACTCATTGGCTAAGTCCCTGGTTCTTAACCAAGGGTACTTCTGCCCCCCCAAGGGGACATTTGGAAATGTCTGGTTCTCATGACTTGGATGGTGGGGGTTCTAGTGGTTTTTAGAGGCCAGAGATGCTGCTGGCAGCCCTCACAACCCCAATCAAGTGGCCTGAAGTGTCAGTAGTGGTAAGGTTCAGAAACCCTGGGCTAAGTGAGTATCCATCTTCTTCTGGGGGCTGACGGCCTGTGAACACTTAGCTCGAGGCTGGACAGACTTGACTGGCACAGGTAGGGTCCCGATCTTGGAGCTTGACACTGGGTGTCCCAGCCCTGTGCCTGCATGCTGGGCAGCCTGAGAGTAGTTTACTGCTCTGAGCAAGTCCCCCTGTCTAACAGAGAGATGACGGTGGCTCAGTCCTGCCTGGGACACACAGCTGTGGTATGAAACAAATGAAAATGCTAGAAAAAAATCAAGTGTCGGGGTTCATGCACACACCAGGTGGTAGTGTGTTGTGCTGTTTCCACTCCATACTGCCCCATCTCTGAGGCCATTACTTAAGAAAGAAAAGCAGGTGACTCAGAAATGGCCAGGGCTGTTTCTAGACAGGGCCGGAGTCGGTGGTTTGTCTGTGAGATCGAGAGTGAGGCAGCTGCAGGGCGTCAGAGCGGGGCTGCCTGAGGCCACTGCCGCTGCCCTGCTGTCTTGTCAGAGGCCCCTGCAGGCTTTCTTCTGTCTCGAAGACTGGGTTTGAAGACTGGCGAGTGAGTGATGCCTTCTAGGGCTGGAAGGGCCTCGGCCATCTCTGGTCCTACGGCTTTCAGAGGGCCCTTTCTGCGAAAGGAAGCTTCCTGGAAGGTGGCTTGGATGCCAGAGGCTCTGACATCTGCTCTGGCTGGGGGACGGACACTTGAGAAGCCCAGTCTGCCCACTTGTCTCTAGGCATTTCCAGGGAGCTGCAAGAGCCCGTTTTAAACTAGCAGTCTGATCCAACAATGTCATTTTCCAAATGACAGCGCTGGGGTTGGGTGAGGCAAAGTGACTCACTCCGGGTCACCGTGGACCGTGGGGCTGGAATCCCAGTGGCATTGCTCGTACTCTGGCGTCCTTTCCGTGACCCACACCTCAGTGGGGCAGCTGTGCAGTAGAGCATCCTGCCAGGTCTGGCTTGTTCTCACTGCCTTCCTAGTTTAGCACAGGGTGTGTCTGATTGGCCACTGCAAGCACTTCCTTGCTCTGGCTCTTCCTGGCTCAGGACCCACTTCTAGCATTTTTACCATCCGGTCCTAACTGGTTCTACAAACTAGACGGAGGTCTGGATGATGAGAGACAAGACGTAATCCACTCTGGTGACTGTGGCCAGGCCAAGGGACAAGCACTGCTGAGAACAGGCAGGCACCCCCCTCCAGGTCCGCTAGGGCAGCGTCACGTTTTTTTGTCTTCTGGCTTGGACCTCCAGATAGATTTCTTTTGAACTAAAGTTTCCATCTTGAAAAAGAGAGAGCCGCTGACTAGGTCTGTTCTCTTTGACCACCGATGCCCTCCGCATGTGAGAGGGCGTCACCCATGAGTCAGCACTGAGTCCTGGTGAGCAGTGGGTATCTTGAGGACCCTGTCAGGTATCTCTGCTCGTCTGAGCCAGTGTCCTAGTTCTGTGGCTCCTCCTATGACTGGGGAAGTGGGCACTGCCGGGCCCCTGGGCAGTCGTAGTGGCAAGGCCTGGCGTGGGAACGTGATCTCTGGGTTGGCTCACAGGATGGGGCCAAGGGCGCAGACCTCCTTCGGAGCCCGTGCTGAGTGTGTGAACACTGCCCCCCTGGTCCACAGGTACCCCACATTCATAGATGCTGTGCGGGACCTGGATGACGCCCTCTCCATGTGCTTCCTCTTCTCCACCTTCCCTCGGACTGGCAAGTGCCACGTGCAGACCATTCAGCTGTGCCGCCGGCTCACTGTGGAGTTCCTGCACTACATCATTGCCGCCCGTGCCCTGCGCAAGGTGAGCCAGGGCCACCTGCGGGGCCCCACCCTGCGCTGTGCGCTGCCACTCTGCTTTTCACCACGTTGTCCCCCTGCCCCCCAGGTCTTCCTGTCCATCAAAGGCATTTACTACCAGGCTGAGGTGCTGGGCCAGCCCATTGTGTGGATCACGCCCTACTCCTTCTCCCATGACGTGAGTGCCCGTGGGGAGGGGCTTGTCCTGGGCATTGTTCCCTCTCTGGCTCCTAGACAGAGCTGATGGCAGGGGCGAAGGGGGGACTCTGCTGTCCTGCAGAGTCCAGATGTGCTGGGTTCTGAAGTGCCGGCCTGGGCAGCGGGGGCGCTTGCTGCACAGCACCGTGGTAAGGCCCAAGCCAGCCTCGTTCCAGGACCCCACACTGGGTGACTGGGACACTTCCTGCACCTTTCTGTGCCTCAGTTAATGATGCACTTCCACTCCAAGCCTTTCAGTGAGAATTTAAGAAAGAAAATCAGAGTGCCATTGCTTGACCTTTGGAGTTGGTGAATAAACAGTGAGCTGCGCAGGGCCTGGACAGGGGCCGAGCCCAGCCCGACCCTCAGGCTCCCTGGGGGCCGCGTCCTGCTCTGCCGCTGGTGGCTGCCCGACCTCGGCCAAGCTGCTTTGCCTGACTCAGCTTCCCCAGCCCGTCCCCTTGCAGGGCTGGTGTCGGGGGGAGGTTGGGCAGGGTGAGCACTAGAGAAGCAGTAGCATGTGGGGCCACTTCCTCTTTTTCCTTTTTTTTTTTCAGACTGGGCATTTTGGATTTCCAGGGATCCATGGGGAGAAATTCTGGCTTTGCCTTGTCATGGGGCATCATTAGCTTCTAGTCCCCTACAGGGTCTTGGCCAAGCTCTGCCTGATTTATTCTGTGGGCCTGTGTTTGACGCAGCTTCCTGCCTATGCACTGCGCACAAACCGGTGCCCTCAGCGGAGAGCCAACATGCTGGCCTAGCTGGACAGTGGGTTTGCTGAACAGGTTGCTAGGCCCTCCAGAGTAGGACCCAGGCTGATAGTGGGTTTGGGGGTGGGGTGCTGCTCAGCGCTGGGCTGTGGGAAATGGAGCTGGTGCTCAGATGTCTTGGAAGGGTGGAGGTGTGAGTGGGGGGACAAGTGGAGTACCTCTTGGCCCCTGGGTCCCCAGAGCCCAGGTCACTGCCTGATGGTGGGCTGCAGGAACAGCACACCAAGCACAAAAGGGACGTTGTGTTCACTACCTGTTTGTGGGTGCTCTAGGGTGAGCTGGGGTGTGGTCCTCTCCCCTGCCCCCTGGTCTGCCGGGGGTTGGTTGTGAGCGTGGATTAGCTGTGGCTGTAGTTTGTCTGTGGGTGAGAGATGGGCTTGGCCCTCAGCAATCCCTGCTCAGGGGGGCAGGCATGTGTGCAAGAGCCTGTGGCCCTTCCCCTCCCCGTACGCACCTCCTCTCCTCCTTCCTTTCCGCCTTCCATCCTTCCTTTCTGGCCCACCCTCCCCTTCCTTCTCTCTGATGTCCCACCCCCGTGCTGCTCAGACCAGTCTTTGTGTGTGTCCTCTGGGTGGTGAATAGGGCCCTGTGGAGGCCACCCTCCACACAGCTGGCCCCGGGGGAAGGGAACAGGCCACCCATTCCTCCTTCCTGGCCTGCTCACTGCTGCTACTTCCTCGCAGCAGGAAAATGGTGCAGGGGGTGGGGTGGACTGGCCCTTTGTCGTAGCGAAGGCCTGACGTGCCCCCTCCTCCCGAGCAGTCGGTGCTAGGCTCCCCAGAGTAGGACCCCAGGCTGGTGGCGTGGGGTGCACTCAGCACTGGGCTGTAGGAAATGGACTTGGTGCTCCGATGTCTTGGAAGGGTCAAGGTATGAGTGAGGGGACAGGCGAGGTACCTCTCGGCCCCTGCATCCCCAGAGCCCAGGTCATGCCTGATGATGGGCTGGAGGAGCAGCTCAGAGTCACGGGCACACCAAGCACAAAAGAGACATGATCATTTCTAGTTTTGACATTGTTTGGCATGTCCTCTGTCCAGGTCCCAGGTTGGTAGGGCTGGGCTGGGGCTCCTTGTTTGTAGAGGGCAGTCAGTGCTACTCAAGAGTTGAGGTACTTCGGTTGCGGTTTGGGTCTCAGGTCTTTGTTTTGTTTTGTTTTGCTTTATCAGCTCCTCAAGGAAAAAGATGAGCGCGTCCATGTCCGCCTTGTTGGCTTGGGAATCCGGCACGGGTCTCCAGGATCCCCCCCAACACTTGGGGCCCTTGTGCAGAGCCTCACTGGTGCCCAGAATGCTCCTGGGGTGGTGCCATGCAGTGCAGCCCCTTCCTGTGTGGCAGTGCTCTGAAGGCAGGGCTGCCCGGGAGGAGTCTGTGGGCCTCGGGCCAGAGCCCCTGCCCTGTGCGGCCTGTCAGTGCCACCTTCTCCCCATTACTTGCCCTGCATTGCTGATGCGCCTGTTGTGCCTCCAGCACCCGACGGACGTGGACTACCGTGTCATGGCCACCTTCACCGAGTTCTACACCACCCTGCTGGGCTTTGTCAACTTCCGCCTCTACCAGTCGCTCAACCTGCACTACCCCCCCAAGGTAGGGCCCCAGTCCAGCCCAGCACCCTCTCCTCACTGTGCGGGGGCCACGGCCCTTCTCTCACCATGGGGCAGGGACTGTGGTGTCCTCTCGCCCTGACATTTCCCCTCACAGCTGGAGGGTCAGTCCCCCGCAGAAGTGAAGGCCAGTGAGGACACCTACGCATTGGACTCTGAGAGTTCTGTGGAGGTAAGAGAGGCTTCTCGAGCATTGGTCCCCCAAAAAGGTGGTCCTGGCCTGGGGTGGGTGGTCTCAGGACTTGCACTCGGAACCCAAACCCACTTATGTCCCAGAACTGTTGCTGCTTCCCACCCCCCCACCCTGGCCGCACCCCATTCAAGGTGCCCACCTGCAAGGGGCAGCCTTGCAGCCCTGCAGCCCTGCTCCCCTGCTCCCTCCCTGTAGAAGCTGGCGGCCCTCGGTGCCAGTCTAGCCCGCGTGGTGGTGCCTGCAGAGGAGGAGGCCGAGGTGGATGAGTTCCCTGCCGATGAGGTGAGGACCGCGCCCCTTCCAGGAGGAGGGTATGGATGAGTGCTGGGACTGGGCTCTAGAAGGAAGCTGCTGGGGGGTCATCCCCAGCCCCTCCCTACAAGTGGGGGTGAGGGCAGACCTGAGGGTGCAAGGCCTGGCCCCTTTCATGGCAGGAGATGACGGCACAGGAGGAGGACCGCAGGAAGGAACTGGAGGCACAGGAGAAACACAAGAAGCTCTTCGAGGGCCTGAAGTTCTTCCTGAACCGGGAGGTGCCCCGCGAGGCCCTGGCTTTTGTTATCAGGTGGGGGGCCGACGGCGCTGGCTCTGCCCCCCTAAGCCAGAGCCTGCCCTGGGTGCCTCTCAGGGACATCAGGGTGGTGCCACTAGCCAGGTCTCAGGGCTGCTGTAGGGATTCCACGAAACGGTGCATGGAAGGCGCTCAGTACATCCCAAGCACACGGGAAGCACTTGTCACAGGGCAGCTTACGTCACCTTCTCTCCAGCTTAGGGTAGAAGGTCTCCGCTGGGCCAGCACTGGAGGTGTTGGCTAGACGGGGAGATCTTGGGGTGGTGGGCTTGCAGGCCTGTGGGTCCCAAGGCAGGCACTCATGCCTGAAGTACTGTTGTGGCTTCTCCCTGTGCTTATAGGAGTTTTGGGGGAGATGTGTCCTGGGACAAATCTCTGTGCATTGGAGCTACTTATGATGTCACCGATTCCTGCATCACCCACCAAATTGTCGACCGGCCTGGGCAGCAGACCCCTGTCATTGGCAGGTAGGCCCCTAAGGCCCTTGTCTTCTCCACCTGTTTGGGTCTCTAGGTGCAGAGGTCGGTCTCCAGGCCCTTGCCAATATAGTAGGGCCTCAGATTGCCCCTGTGACCTGTCTCTGATGCCATTCTGCACCAGGTACTACGTGCAGCCCCAGTGGCTGTTTGACTCTGTGAACGCCCGGCTCCTCCTCCCCGTGGCAGACTACTTCCCTGGGGTGCAGCTGCCCCCACATCTCTCGCCCTTCGTGTCAGAGAAGGAAGGCGATTATGTCCCCCCTGAGAAGCTGAAGCTGCTGGCCCTGCAGCGGGGAGAGCACCCAGGTGGGTGGGAGGGGGTGGGCAGGGTGATGGGGTGGACTGGCTTTGGGCCCCTGGGCTCAGCTGGCTACCGCCCTTCCTGGCTGCAAAGGTGGCAGGGCCCAGGGAGCAGGCGGCAAGGGCACAGAGCCCTTTAAACCCACCTTTGGAGTAAGGCTTAGGGGAAGGGGGCATTTGTGTCCTACAGCCAGGTGTTCCTTGACGTTGAGAGTAACAGCAGAAAGGTGGGCTGGAAGTTGCCACTGATGTTTACATAGAGGCAGCAGAGCTTGTGAGCGTGAGGCCTAGGGTTTCCTCTGACAGCAGCCTGGGGCTCTCGGGAGAGGGGACCACAGTTGGGACAGCCTTGCACTGCCTTGGATGGTCCCCATGGCTTGAGAGGGTGGGCCTGGTGCCAGGCCTCACCTTGGGAGAGAAAGAGCAGGCTCCCAGGGCATCTTGAAGTCATCGGCTTTTTACAGGCAGTTTGAATGAATCCGAAGAGGAGGTTGAGGATGACAGTGAAGGTGACGGTGACGGTGATGAAGGGGAAGAAAATGAGGAGGAGGAGGAAGATGGAGAAGCCGGTTCAGAGAAGGAGGAAGAGGCCCGACTGACAGCCCTGGAGGAGCAGAGGATGGAGGGGAAGGTACTGGGGAGCTCACGCACTGGCCGTCTTGGTGTCAGCTCAGGCACGGAAGGGCAGGCACGCGGGGACGGGCCGCGGGAGGCACTGGGGTGCCTGCATCCACAGGCGTCTGCCCCGTGTTCTCAGCAGCCCAGGGTGATGGCAGGCACCGTGAAGGTGGAGGACAAGCAGCGGCTGGCCCAGGAGGAGGAGAGCGAGGCCAAGCGCCTGGCCATCATGATGATGAAGAAGCGGGAGAGGTACCTGTACAACAAGATCATGTTTGGCAAGAGGCGCAAAATCCGCGAGGTGAGTCTCTGCCACCCTCCTGAGGCTCCAGCTGTGGCTGCACAGGTGAACTTTGAGGCTGACCGGCCGTCCTCCGTGCAGACCCCACGCTGGGCCTTCTCCCGGCCTTTCTCAGATCCAGCCTCTGGAGCCCCCACACAGCCCGTGCGGGCACCTGGGCTTCCGTCCGGGCTTTAATCTCCTTCCCATGCCAGCTGTTTCTAGGTTCTGCTGGGGTCTGGGGACAGAACTGTCCCAGCCGACTTGGGGTCTGCTCTTAGGCAGGACCTCTTACAGAAGGGCATGAAAGCAGGAGGAACTGGGGGAGATTTGGGTTAAGCCCCTTTGTTTTGTTTCTCTTGTTTACAAAGTCACATACACTCACTATAAAACACAATTATTTTTGAAGTTCCCTGCACACTAGAACTCTGTATGGCTGGGGTGACCTGTAGTGACTGGTGATTTTGGAGGTCCCGTGCCACATACAGATGATGAGTTGCAGTGTTTTTGACTTAACTGTAGTGTGAACTTCTCACTGCAATGTCTTTACAATATGTGGCCTGTTCCCTGCTGTTAGGATTAAATTTATTCCCATTTTTAGTCAGTCTTAGAAAACACCCTTCAGCCTATCCCTGCCTGCCTCGGAATGTTGCTGCAGGATAATTTCTTCCGAGTGTGGTTGCCAAGTTGAAAGGTCAACCCATTTTGTTAGACACATTGCCTGGCGTTCCCCTCCCCAGCGGTGCCTGGCACAGGTTTGAGTGGCGGCTCTGGGAGCCTGAGCTCTGGATTGCTGTGGGCCTATAAAATTATAGAGTCAGAAGGTCAAAGGTGAAGGCTTGTGTCCTCACTTGAGGTTTTCAAGTAGGTTTGTTTTTCTTCATGGCAGTTTGCTTGTTAGCATTTCAGGAAGCCCTGCTTTTAAGGAATGGCCTCATGTAGAAGAAAGGGGAGTACCCTCCCCTGCACCCCACACCCCGCCCCATCCCAGCCTCATCCCTTCCTTCCTCACAGGCCAACAAACTGGCGGAGAAGCGGAAAGCCCACGATGAAGCCGTGAAGTCTGAGAAGAAGGCCAGGAAGGGACGGCCAGTGTGAGTGCTACAGCCTCTTGATGGGCAAGGCCAGCTTCTGCCAGCTGGACTTGGCACAGATGGCCAGAGGACTAAGCTTGGTGACAGACCAGAGTCTCTTCTGTTTCCCTCCCCCTTTCCCCCCTCCTGCTGGGCTTCCTCTCTTGCTCCCTGGCTGGGCCTATGGGCAGCCCCAGTCTCCCTTGGATGGAGCTCCCTGCTGGTGACTGGGCAGAGGAGAGGCCTCTGCCCAGCCCATCTCGATGCTTCCAGGAGTCCGTGACTTGAGGGGCAGCAGTCCAGCCAGCCCCTCATCAGCTGCTCCCATTCACCCTGGCTTTCAGCAGCACCCCTCCCACATGCAGTTGGACCCATGATTCTTCTGGTGCTGTGATGGGGCGAGGGTGGGCAAGTATTGGTTATTAAATGGCTGGAATTTGCAGCCAATTGAATTCTGTGTTCATGAGCCTTTCTGGGATTGGAGAAGGGCCACCTAGTGCCCTGTGCTTCAGGCTGGGCAAGCCCTGGGTATTTACTGACAAAGTCCTGGTCACTGCTTAGAGCCTGCTGGATGTCCAAGGACACCTTTGGGTCCAAGGATGTCAGAAGGTAGGTGCAGAGGTTCTGGGCTTGGGCTCTGAAGTTGGTCTACCTGTAGCTCACTTTCTAGCCCAGGTACTTTTCCTCTTTGAACCTGTTTCCTCATGTGTAAATTAGGGGTAGAAATTCTGGAGCCTTCCAGGGGCGTGTAGAGGGTTCAGCGTTGTGATACAGACTCAGTAGTGGCAAGCATCTAGAAAGGAAAGTGCTCAGTAAACACCAGCTGTGATTGTTACTACTTCCTGCTGGAGTTAACCCAGAAGATAAAGCCAGTGAGTGCCTGAAGGATTGGCAGGGCCTAACTTTACCTTGTCGCTCATTGGCAAAACCACTGGTAACTCCCCTTGAGAGTGTTGCCAGCAGCCTGACTTGTGACTCCTGCTGGGCCATCCTCACAGCTTCCCGCCTGACCCAGGCAGTGCCCTTGCTGAAGTCCATGGGGACACACCTTTGCCCAAGACTGCAAGTGCCTCGCGGCAGAGGCAGGGTCAGAATGCAGGCTTGGGAATGTCACTCAGCTCTCCGGGTCAGGCAGGGAGTTTCTGAATAGCAGCCCTAGGATGCCCTGGTGGGCTGAGAACTGTCAGGAGCAGAGGTGAGGGTGTGGAAGTGTGGTTTTGGAACTGGGCTCCACCTTCCTGATATCTAGGCACCTAAGGACCTTGGCCCTGCCGTCTAAGTTTTTCAGGCCGTGACTGCAGGCCTAAGCTATGCAGGAGTACGGCAAGAGGTTGGGCAGGCTCTGGGGGAGCAGAAAACCCAGGGCCCCCGTCTCACTCAGCTAGGCTTTGTTGTGGGTATAGGAGAGGGCTGTGTTCTACCCGGGCGTGATCACGGTGGGTGGGGGGGGCTGGGTGGGAGACATGTTGCTTCCAGAGGCAGGGACAGGGTCAGGGCTTCTGGAGCCAAAGCCGGGCATCCAGGGCACAACTCGGGACTGCCTGGGTGCACGTGCATCCCTGGGCTGTGGTACGGGTGTCAGGACCAGGCTGGAGAACAGGCCCATCAGATATGGAAAAATCCCTGGCAGCTATGCTGATGTGGAATTTTCCCCATTCCAGAGTCACCCAGTAATAGCGGGGGCAGTGGAGCTCTGACGGGACCCATGCCCCACTGGGTGGCCAGCTGGTTTTGCACTGCCCACAGGCCGAGCAGGAGCTGAGCATTCCCAGCTCCAAGCAGGTGTTAATTTCCATCCTTGGACCCCTGGCGTGAAGGAGGGAAGTCCCAGACTGGAGAAAGGCAGATGGTGGATGGGGCACCTGCATCATGATGGCACTGGGCTCAGCCCTGTTGGGTGCCCTGGAGAGGCAGGGTGAGCAGAGACCTCCAAGTGGCATGACCAGGTGGAGAACTGTCCCTTGCCTGAGCTTCCCTTAGGGATTCGCATCACCCCAACTCTATTTTGGACCCCCAAAATAGGTCCCCAGCTTGCACTGACTCTGGAGCAGGGCGCCATACCTCCTCTCATTGGATCCAGTCCAGAACCCCGAAGAAAAGTTAGACAACTAATCTAGGCACCACCTTTTCGCACAACTGAGCTGCCCTCGCCACCACCACCACGCCACCCCGTTTCCCAGGCACCCTCGAATCCCCTCTGAGGCTGGGAGCTCGGCTGAGCTGCAGGGTCCAGCGGCGGGACAATGGGACCGTTGGCGCTTCCGAGACAAACGGGCCTTGTTGGGCCGGCGGCGGGGGCGCGGCGTTGCGGCCGAGTGCGCTGAATGCGGCTTCTGTGCGTCCCCGGCGGGCGCGAAGGGGCCGGGAGGCTGGGGCCCGGACGCCCATTGGCCACGGCGCAGGGGGCCGGGCCAGGCTGGAGGGCGCACCTGGCCGGAGCGGGAGCGGCGGCGGTGGGAACATGGCCCGGGCTTGGTGGAGCGGGGGGCTCTGGCGGGTGCCCCCCGCCGCCTGGTAAGCGCCCAGGCGGCGCGGCCCGGGAAGGGACCAGCCGCGACAAACCCGAAGACCGGGACAAGGTATGTCCTGGGGGCCCAGCACCCGCCGTCATCTCGTGCTCTGCCTCAGTCTACCCCCGGGGATCCCGGCCCGTGCCGCCCCGTCCTTTAAGCTGGGACTGCCGGTCCGACCCGCCGCGCGGAGCGCTTTGGTAGTGTCCCTACTGCTCCAGGGGCTGAGGGGCCCCTGCTGGCAGACAGAGGCGGGCAGGCCGGGGCCAGGAAGAGGGCAGGTGGGTGCCCGCCGGCCGTTGGTTTCTCCTCCGCGGTCCTCATCTCTAGGGTTTTCCCCGCCCCTGGATACGGGATGGGCGGGGCTGGAGCTGGAAGTCCGTTACTGATGAGTCTCGGACAGCGCCGTCTGAGCCCTGGGGAAGGGAGGGCAGGAACCCACCTCCTTCCCGCAGCCCCCTGGAGGAGGTCCATCTGAGGAGGGGCTGGAGGCCAGGGCCAGGGAGGGATCCCCCTGCCTGGGGAAGGCCCCGGACTGTACCACAGAGGGGCAAGGCCGCCAAGGCGAGGCCTGTGGAGGGGGAGAAATTCTGGTACCCATGATGGGACCCAGAGGGAATCCCAACATTTCCTGTTTCTTGGACCCAGCAAGAGGGTCCAGCTTGGTCTGCACCCCCGGTACCAAGCCGGCACTTTGGAACCAACACAGAATGGTCTGTGGTCTCTTCCCAGTGGGGCCCTCCCCACAACCCACCTAAGCAAGACAGGTGATGGGCTCCCTTTGGCTGCAGTGAGCCACACCTGTGGGAGAGGTGGGGGGAAGGGGGCGGAGCCCGCAGGCCTGACACAGGAGCGCCTGGGTTGCCGAGGTGACAGGTGCCATGGAAATCCTCAGGACTGTCTGGCTGGGAAAATCCAACCTCTTCCTTTACCACGGGTTGGCGTGAGGCCCTGAGAGGGCAGACCTGGCCAGAGCGGCCCCTGTGTTGCTGCACTATACCTTGCCCTGCAAAGGAGGCATTGCTACTATGCCCATTATCCTGAAGGGGAAACTGAGGCTCAGAGAGATTCAGTGACTTGCCCAAGGTCGCCTAGTTCAAAGATGACTGAGCTGACTCCAGATCATAGAAGGCTTGCCCTGGCCTGCATCTCAGGACCCCAGCCCTGCTCAAGACCTCTCTGCTTCTCCGGGGGTCCTAGCCCCTTGGATCTGCCCAGGCCACCCCAAACTCCCAGCTCAGGACCCCTCCCCCTTGCCCTCCTAGCTCCCAGCTCTGCCTGACACTCACAGGGTGGGCAGGCAGCTACCCTGGGAGCAGAGACAACGGAGCCCTGTTCCCAGCTGCTGCTTCAGGCTGCTTCATTCCCTGCTTTTCACTCAGGCAGAGCCCAGCCTGAAGGAAGCTCCCTGTGGACAAAGAAACCTGACTGCTTCCTGCACAGCCCCTTGTCCAATGGCATGAATCTGCTATTGGAGAGCATGGGTCTGATGTCCTCTTGTCACCCAGCAAGGGAAGAGTATGTCCCCTACAGTCCCTCGGGGCTCCAAGGGACTGAATGTGCCACCCGGAGAAAGAGGCAGCGATTCACCCGGGAGAGTGATGTAGGGCTGCTGGGATTCCAGGCATGGCAGTGCGCTGGAGGACAGCTTCTTACTTTGCTTTGTCTGGGTGAGGAATGTGGATAGTCCCTCTTAGGAGTCCTGTCCTGCCCCAGGCAGGAAGGACAGGCTGGAGCAGAGGTGCCGTGGGGTTCAGTGGGCCAGGGGCTGGAGGGATTCCCAGGTGAGGGGTGATGATTGGGAGGAAGTCGGGTCCCAGAAGATACCATCTTTCCCCCCTGCCACTTCCAGAGATGAGGCATGACTTGGGCACCTCCAGCTCTGATCCAGCACTGCCCTGATTTGCCACGGAACCTTAGGCAAGTCCTTCCTTATCTGTGCCTCAGTTTCCTCAGATGTGAAATCTGGGGGTTAGGGAATTTGGTCTGGAGCATGGGAAATGTGGGTGCTTAGATGAGGAGGGTGACTTTCAGGAGTCTGCACTGGTGGGTCCTGTTTCTCCTGCCAGATGACCTTAGAAGAGTCATGATACTAATCCCAGATGTGTGTAAAGAGCCCCATTTGATCTTCACAGTAAGCCCATGAGAGGATCTCAATATCCCCATTTTTTAGGAAACCGGAGGCTCAGAGAGGGTTAGTCACTTGCCCAAGATCACCTAGCTGGGAAGTGGTGGAGCCAGGATTCATAGCCAGCGCATCTCAGCCTCTCCACAAGCAGAGAGGCGCGTGGGTGGATCAGGGCATTGTGCACAGAAAGCTCTCAGCACCTTTGTAAAGCTCTATATTGTTACATATTTTTATGCAAACAAGTGCTTGGTTCGTTTTAAAAAACACTTCAGTCATGCTAGAAGGTACAGTGATAGTACCAATTGCCCCATACTCACCTCTGGTGTTCTCAGTAATTTTGGAGCCATTAAAGATGTGACTGATTTCTTGGTTAATGTGTTTTTCTCCACTCTGCAGTTAGAGCTACTTTGGGGAAATCAAATCTGCCATCAGGAGAGCTGGTAATTTTGCCTGGACGAGGCAGTGTAGCAGGAAGGGCTATGGGCTTGCTTCTAGTTCTGACTCAACCACTCAGCCTCTCCACCAGTTTCTGAACCCATTTTCCCACCTGTCATACAGGCTAGCAGGTGACACTGGCAGGGCCTGTCAAGGTCTCAGGTATGGTTGCCATTTGAAATGGTAGGAATAGGTCACTCTGCAAGATCAGAAAGTGCTTTCTGAATCATCAAAGGACATTCTCCATATCCAGCTGGCAGCCATTCCCCCAGCCAAGGGGGCAGTAGGAACACGAGTTGGCAGATTGGAGGTGGTCCTACAAGCCAGCGAGTTGGGGTCCAGCTGAAGTGCCCTCGGAGTGATCCTCCCCACCCCTACTCCAGCACCCAATTCCAGAGGGGCTCAGAGTGAGGAAGCTTCCAGATTCTTCCAAGTCACTGCCCCAGTGCTCCTGGATGGAAGGCCAACCTTTCCCATTTGTACCTTCAACTGGGCGTCCCCCACTTCCCAGCTTCTTCTCTGTTCCAGACCCCTCCTGCCTCTTCCCCACTTTAGGACACTGAGGTTCAGAGCGGTGGGCATACCTGCCATAGTAACACAGTGAGGTGGGGCATGGTTCAGATGAGCCACTTTCCCCTCCTCCTCCAGCCAGACTGGAGTTTTTCAGAATGGAAATATCTCTATTTTTTATTTAATATTTTTCCCAAAGAACTATAGACTCTGTAAAACAAAATTAAATATGTATATATGAATATATATGTGTATGTGTGTCCATACATATGCATATATATATCTTTTCACTTCATTATATTGGGGACATCATTTTAGTGAGTACATAATAGACCATGGGGTGAAGTGTCACATATATTTTTTTTAACCAATCCTCTGTTGTTGGACATTTAGGTGATTTCTTTTTTCCTCCTTTTCTAAATAATACTGCAGTGAACATCTTTGTGCCCCATTTCAAATCTATTGTTAATTATCTTCTTTGAACAAATTCCCACAGGGGAATTGGTGGGTCTGAGGATGGGCACTTTTAGACCTAGTTACTGTCAAAGATACACTCTGAGCACTGTAAAAAGAGTCTTTTTGCTGCCCTCTTAAAGTCTCCTCCATTGTCCCCATGAGATTCCTTCCTGCTACAGGAAACAGCTTTAGGACGCCCTCACCCTCACCTTCTCTGCGAGAGCCCCGTCCCTCTGTCTGCATGGACGTCCATCAGTCAGGAAGTGGTTCATGGGGAGTAGTGGTTCTACAGAAAGTTTTGCAGCCAGTGGTTTTGGAGGTCCTTTATCTTCATTTCCTTGGGGGGCTTCTTCCCCTCCCTGCTCCCATAAGTACAGAGTTCTCCTTCCTCATCCTTTTCCTGATGACTCCATCTGCTCCTCTAGCCTCAGTTCCTACCTCTATGCCCATGGCCTCCAAGCTCTGTCCCCTCGAGCTCTCCCTCTGTGCTCCAGGTCGGGGTCCTACTGCTCTTTGCACTGTGTATGAGCACCCTACAGCCTCAGCATGTCCTGTACTACTGAAACTGACATTGCCCCCAGCCCTAATACTAGCTCCATCTTTGGCCAGCCAGTCAATCCAATGGATTCTTTTCTCCTTTCCTCCACACCCTGTCACCCACCAAGTGCTGTCCGTGCCATGGCCTACAGAGGGCTCCAGTCTCTCCAGCCTTCTCCTTGGTGCAGGTAATTTCATACCTGGACAGCTGTAACAACTACTGTTGAGGTCTGCCTGCTACTCCCATTCCTTTCCCACCTCCACAGTTCATTTTCTCTCCAGCAGCCTGATGGGAATCCCATCTCCTCACTCCTGTGCTGAAGACCCTCCCAGGGCTCCCCATTGCCCACAGAATCCAGGCCATATTCCTAAGGATGCTTCCTGAAGTCCTGTGTGTCCTGCCTACCCCTGCCCCCTTTCCAGCTGTGCCTCTAGTCTCCCTTGCCCACCCAGCCTCTGACATGCACAAAACTGGACACTCCAGCCAGGCTAGGCTGAACATTTGTTAGTTTCTCAATTGCCCTGGGCCTTTGCACGTGCTTTTCTCTATGCCTGGCTCATTCTAGGGTGCATTAGGTAATGCTAGCTGCTTTAACAGACAAGCCCCAAATTCCATGGCTTAACACAGTGGCAGTTTAGTTGTCATTTTCAAGAAATCCAATCCGTGTTTAGTGAGCCGTGATGCAGAGACCCAGGCTCCTCCCATCTCATGGCCCTAGCCACCTCCAGGTCTTCTGAGACTGCCCCATTCATCCAGCATGTGGGAGACCACAGAGAAGGTCCACCCACTTAACCTTATCAGTTATTCTGCTCACATTCTATCGGTCAGAATTTGGTCACATGAAGACACTGAACTAACTGCAAGGGGAGATGGGAAATGTAGTTTAGCCATATACCCAGGGACAAAAGGGAAATAACTGCTTTTGGAAATCAGAAAACACACAATAGCTTCTGTTAACAGGTGTTCCCTACTCCAGGGCACCTCCCTGACCTCCCCCCTTCCCCACCCAGGCTGGATTAGGGTTTTCTCTGTGCTCCAGCATCCACGGCCACCATGCCCTCCATTAAAGTACCTGCAGCTTCTGCTCCTCTCTCTCACTGCAGGACTGTGAGCCCCAAGCCCCGTGGACCAGGCATCAGGAACCCCGGTGGTGGGTGTAGTTCAGGCACTCAGTAAATACCTATGGAGCAGATTAGTTTAAAACTCTGGTCACAAAAAGATGTGGACAATCTATTGAGAATTGGTGGTGGTGCGGGGGCGGGGGGTGGGGAGCAAAACCCAAAATGTGCTCCTCTGGAGAGAAGCAGCCCATCATCTATATGGATATCCAGACAGGAAAAGTGTGAGGAGGACCGTGCTAAAGCTTTAGGGGCGGTGACCTCTGGGGATGGAGCTCTTTTTATTGTCTTCTTTCCATTTTTCTGTAATTGTCTGAATTCTTTTCACTGAGCATGTACTGCTTTTATGATTTAGAAACATTTGTGTGTGGTGGGGATAACCAGCTAGAGGTGATGTCACTGATGTTCTGGGGACAGATCTCTCTACAGGGCTGGAATCTCAGGTTCTGCCATAGCGCCCCCTACAGTGCAAAGCTTCGCTTCATGTGGCTCTGTTACCCACCTTTCCATCCCACCCTCCTACTAGCTCCATCTTTGGCCAGCCAGTCAATCCAATGGATTCTTTTCTCCTTTCCTCCACACCCTGTCACCCACCAAGTGCTGTCCGTGCCATGGCCTACAGAGGGCTCCAGTCTCTCCAGCCTTCTCCTTGGTGCAGGTAATTTCATACCTGGACAGCTGTAACAACTACTGTTGAGGTCTGCCTGCTACTCCCATTCCTTTCCCACCTCCACAGTTCATTTTCTCTCCAGCAGCCTGATGGGAATCCCATCTCCTCACTCCTGTGCTGAAGACCCTCCCAGGGCTCCCCATTGCCCACAGAATCCAGGCCATATTCCTAAGGATGCTTCCTGAAGTCCTGTGTGTCCTGCCTACCCCTGCCCCCTTTCCAGCTGTGCCTCTAGTCTCCCTTGCCCACCCAGCCTCTGACATGCACAAAACTGGACACTCCAGCCAGGCTAGGCTGAACATTTGTTAGTTTCTCAATTGCCCTGGGCCTTTGCACGTGCTTTTCTCTATGCCTGGCTCATTCTAGGGTGCATTAGGTAATGCTAGCTGCTTTAACAGACAAGCCCCAAATTCCATGGCTTAACACAGTGGCAGTTTAGTTGTCATTTTCAAGAAATCCAATCCGTGTTTAGTGAGCCGTGATGCAGAGACCCAGGCTCCTCCCATCTCATGGCCCTAGCCACCTCCAGGTCTTCTGAGACTGCCCCATTCATCCAGCATGTGGGAGACCACAGAGAAGGTCCACCCACTTAACCTTATCAGTTATTCTGCTCACATTCTATCGGTCAGAATTTGGTCACATGAAGACACTGAACTAACTGCAAGGGGAGATGGGAAATGTAGTTTAGCCATATACCCAGGGACAAAAGGGAAATAACTGCTTTTGGAAATCAGAAAACACACAATAGCTTCTGTTAACAGGTGTTCCCTACTCCAGGGCACCTCCCTGACCTCCCCCCTTCCCCACCCAGGCTGGATTAGGGTTTTCTCTGTGCTCCAGCATCCACGGCCACCATGCCCTCCATTAAAGTACCTGCAGCTTCTGCTCCTCTCTCTCACTGCAGGACTGTGAGCCCCAAGCCCCGTGGACCAGGCATCAGGAACCCCGGTGGTGGGTGTAGTTCAGGCACTCAGTAAATACCTATGGAGCAGATTAGTTTAAAACTCTGGTCACAAAAAATGTGGACAATCTATTGAGAATTGGTGGTGGTGCGGGGGCGGGGGGTGGGGAGCAAAACCCAAAATGTGCTCCTCTGGAGAGAAGCAGCCCATCATCTATATGGATATCCAGACAGGAAAAGTGTGAGGAGGACCGTGCTAAAGCTTTAGGGGCGGTGACCTCTGGGGATGGAGCTCTTTTTATTGTCTTCTTTCCATTTTTCTGTAATTGTCTGAATTCTTTTCACTGAGCATGTACTGCTTTTATGATTTAGAAACATTTGTGTGTGGTGGGGATAACCAGCTAGAGGTGATGTCACTGATGTTCTGGGGACAGATCTCTCTACAGGGCTGGAATCTCAGGTTCTGCCATAGCGCCCCCTACAGTGCAAAGCTTCGCTTCATGTGGCTCTGTTACCCACCTTTCCATCCCACCCTCCATCTCACCTCTTGCCCAAGAAAGAGCCTGAGCTCCACTCCTACCTGGATGGGGTTCTCAAGCCGTGTGACCCTGGACTGCTCACTCCCCACCTAAAAGCCTCCGCAACCTCCTGTATAAAGTAGGAGTGATAACAGGGCCATCCCTGTTATCGCGAGGATCATGGGGGGGGGTGTGATTCACCGCAAGTCCTGAGCACGGGGCCGGAGACTGATCAAGAATCCATGCTCATAAACCTCTTCCCTGCTGTGTGATGCCAGCTCTGCCCCAACTCACCCTCTAGATACATCTTCAAGCTAGCTCAGCCCAGAAAAGATAAAACACCTCCACTTTGTGCCCTGGAACCAATCCAGAACTCAGACATTGGGACTCTGGCCCTCCCTGGTGGCTGTTTAAGCTCTGGTATCCCATGGGTGTTTGGGGAGCTGTCCCAGGCTGTGCACAGCTTTAGGGGAAAGAGTGCTTGAAGCAAAGTGTCACCTGCCCACTGCTTCCTGGGAGGTGCTGGCAGCTGCTGAGAAAGTGCTCAGTGTGGGATAAATGACTGTCACAATAATGGTTATTATTAATTGATGGTGATACTTGGTTCCCGAGAGCTCCATGCCTGTCCATGCCTGGGCCATGGTGGGACATCAGTACTGAATAAAGATGCAGGGGACTTTTCTGGCACCCTCTATCCACGGGCAAGGCTGAGAGAAGGCACACCTGAGCCCTGCTAAGAGATTCCAGTGCCTGGGCTGAGCCCAAGGGCCCCTGGGGTTTAGGGCCAAGGTCCCTAGAACCCCTGACTTGGGCCAAGTCCTTGGGAAGGATCAGCACCTCCCACTGGCCTCAATCTCTCTGGGCTGGTCCAGGGTGCCCTGTGCCACCATCCTTCTCACAGGGATGGAGGCGGACAGGCAGGGTCTCAGAGAGGTGAAATCTCAGACTCACCCAGCCCTAGGCAGGTGCTCTGCCTCCAGGAGGGCTTCCTGGCTGAGTTGCTCGCTGTCTGGGCTCTCCCAGGTTTTAGACAGTGTGGTCTCTGGCTGCATCTCAGCATCTTTAAGCCCTGAAGTTGGGCAAGTCCATGTTTGGTCGCTTTCTGACTTTGTCTGCCCTCTCCAAACTCTGTGAACTTGGACAGGTGAGCTCACCTCTCAAGAGCCTTGCTTGCTTGGCCTGGGCAGTGGGCTAACGGTGGTGCTGATGCACAGGACCTCTGAGAGGCTTAAATGAGGTGTACATCAAGGGGCAGTTAGTCTCCCCACTGCACTTGCCTCTTGGAACCTCCTGTGGCCTTTGAGCCTGTCCTGGGCTCTCTGCAGGGCTCTGCGGCTGCTGGTGTCCTTGGCCCAAGGACACCTGGGACCTTGCTGAGTCCTTGGATCTAGGAGTTGCCGGCTGCTGAGGTCCAGAGAGGGTCAGGGACCGCCCAGAGGGTACCCCTGGCAGAGGACCAGGGCAGCACCTGCAGGGTACAGGAGCATACCACCTGCTTTCCCCAGGGAGGGAACTCATGAATATTCATACCTGCTGGAGCGAGAGGGAGCCAGCGTACTGCTGGGTGTCACTGAAGCGTTCCTGTTTCCCAGTGACCGCAGAGGCAGCCTGGGAGTCAGATGTGGCTCGGGCAGGGAGAGGAAAGGGGGAGCCAGTCAAGGCTCAAGGTGAGTGTGTCTTGCTGGGCCAGGGGTCCGTACGAGGGGCCGGATACTGGGACTGAGGTCTGCCTGGTGGTGATGCTCTAGGCCAGGTTTACCATCCTGGGCTCAGTTTCCCTGTGTGCACGCTATGGGGGATGAATCTTGTTTCTTCTTCATTCCCTGGGGGGCCCAGCCAAATGGGAGGATTGCCTGGCCTGGCCTAGAGCCAGCTATTAGCACAAATGGAGGGTAATATGGCCAGGGTAACCCAGAAGGGCAGGAACAGATGGGGTAGGCTAGGGACAAGGATGTATCTGCCCTGAGTGCCTGGAACTTTAGACAGAGGAAGGAGGCCCAGTTTCTAGTCCTGTCTCTGCTGCTGCTGTGCTCTGTGACCTCTCTGCCCTCTCTGAGCCTCAGCCTCCCTGCCTGCTGCCTTCCAAACTGGAGACTGTAAGGCTCTGGCCTTAGACTCAGACTGTCCTCTGTACCCCATGGCCTTCACCTGGAGCCATCAGCTGCCTGCAAACCTCCATCACGGGCCAGTGGGCACATACCTTGAAGGGGCTAGCTATGACTGGGACCCTGGGAGGGTAATAACAATGGTGACAACAACAAGGGTGTCAGTCCCTGCTCTTTGTCAGCCCTGTTTTGGGCACTTTCCTGATCCACGCAGCACCCTGTGATGGAGGGAGAGTTGGTGTCATCATTTTGGAGGAGAAATTGAGGCCCAGAAAGGGGCCTAACCCTGCCTAGGTCACACAGCAAGGCAGCAGCAGAGCTGGGATTCAAACCCAGAAGCCTGGTCTGGAGGTGCTGGCTCTCACATATGTGAGTCACATATGGGTTTATCAGCCCTGGTCACATTCTGCCCTGAGGTTCATGGTGGATGGGGGGTGTCATTCATCAGACATTCACCAGGTGCCAGGCTCCAAGAGCTCAGGAATGAATTACCATCAGGCTTGTCGTTAGCTGGGCACGGTGGGGACCCCTCCTCCCATATGCCTGGACTTGTGAACTGGGACTGGGCCCTGGGCAACGGTCATAATAATAGTTAACATGTATTGATCTTCATCTATGTACATGCATTTCTTTATTCCAGTCTCACAGCCTTATGACTGGTTTCTCCCTCACTGGGCTCCTAGCTGCCAGCCGGTCCCTCTCTGGGCTTTGGTCTACCCAGGGGCTCTGCCCGGGATCGCTAAGGGCCCTGTGTGTCCTGATTTCACTGTTGTGTGTCCATTGCTCACATGAGGAAACAGAGGCTTGAAGAGGGTGGACAATATGCCCAAGTTCACAGATGCCAGGCAGGAAGGGAACTGCCAGCCTTGGATGCCTTATGCTGCCAACACAGGAGGGACCAGCCCCCAGGGAGCCCCTGCTTCCCCACCTTCATCCTGGCTGCCCTGGCACCGTCCGCAGAGGCCAGACCCTGCTGTGCCTCTGGGACAGAGCCCCACAGCCACACCTTGGCCTTCTGCGATAGAACTCCCAGCTGCACACACCCTCCTTCCCCAGGGCTTTGGGCTGGGCCCAGGACACGCCAGGCAGGGACTGCCATGGACAGAGTGGGAAGCTGCATGCTGGACCCTGACAAACCTGGGCTTGAATCCCAGCTCTGCTCCCTGCCTTGCTGAGTGACCCTGAACAAATAGCATCACCTCCCGGAGCCTTGGTTTCCCCTCTGTAAAGTGGGCGATGGTGACAGTGGGGTATGCCTCCAGGGATAGCTGAGCAGAGTCAGTGAGATGTTCTGGAGAAGCAACTGCCCAGGCCCTAGGTCATAACAGAGACTCAAAGGTGAAACCAGAGGGTAGGACAACCCAGGGCCTGGCACGGTTTGAAAAAGCCAGAGTGGAAGAATGAACAACTGAATGAGTGGAGCAGTAATGGGAGCCCTGGGGGCACCGTCCTGGTGAGATGGGCAGAACTTGATTGGTGGTGCTGGGGTGCTGGTCTGCCCCCTGCTGCCTGCCTTCCATCCCAGAGCCTCTGCCTTTAACCTCCCAGATTCCAGAAAGTGCCCTGGTAAGTGGGGCTACTGGAGCAGGGGTGGGTCCTGGGGATTTCTGGAGGGCAGCAATACTAACCTGTCTCCATTTTAGAGTCAGAGAAACCAAGGCCCAGGCCCCACTCAGGCTTTGGGCCCGAGTCTGAGGCTTGGCCTGGCCCAGGGCCTTGCGCACTTTCTGTTGGGCCCCCAGGGAACAAGAGGCTGATGAGGGCACTTGAGGTATGCGGCAGGGTTTTGCTTGGTTGGAGGCACCCAGTGGCCAGTCCTTGTTCAGGGGGCCCACCCTGAGGGTGACAGAGGCCCAGAACAGCTCCCTGGGGCTCAGGAGGGAAGCAGTTAAGACTCTTTAGGTGGTGACTATGTACTAGTCACTTTGAACTGCACCATCTCAGGTAGAGCCAGCAAAGGAGGTACTAGCTGCCCCATTTCACAGACAAGAGACTGAGGCTCCAAGGGGTTCCTGTGATCGAAAACCTGGACCTTCCAGATCCTGAGGTCGGCACCTCCCCTTCTGGAGCTGCTCCTTGACTGGACCACGGCTATCCAGCTTACCCCATCTCGAAGTCTTTATGACCTATTATTTAAATATATTAAATATTTTTTATTGCCTTTACCTGATTAAAAATGTAATATATGCTTCTTCAAAACAATGTAACCATTAGAAAAATATATTCCCTTATGTATGCTCCTCCCCAAGCTCTGCAGAGGATACCACTGTTAAAATTCAGAATATTGGGAGATTCAAGATGGTGGCTTGAGAGGTGGGACAGAGAACTCCTCCCAAAACCACAGATAGTGTGAAAATATAGTTAATACAACTGATCCTAAAACAGCACCAAGAAAGAAGGCTGCACCAGACTGCACACAGACCTCACGAACGGAGCAGACCTCACAAAACAGGGTAACGTACGAAAGCCTTGATCCAGCGGGACCCAGGCCCTTCCCCCACCCCAGCTCACCGGCGGGAGGAAGAGAAACGAGCGGGGGAGGGGGTGGAAGCCCGGGACTGCTGAACACCCGGCCCTGGAGGTCTGCTTTGGGAGCAGAAGCCTACATTGTGTGGGGCTCTGGAGGATGGGGAGCTGGGACAGGCAGAGTGCTTGAGAGACAGGTTCTGGCCATTTGTGGGGGACGGGATCCACACCCAGCCCCTCTGGGACAAGGGGAAGGCAGGTGGTCTGACAGGCTCCCTGGCAGCAAGAGGGCTGCTGAAGGGGTGGGGTTTGCATGGTGCTTGGGCAGGAGAAGGGACGGGGGACAAGGTTGTCTGGGCACACTCTGCCCAGCAGGTTGGGAACTTTGGGGATCTTTAGGTGCTCCATCCCCCTGGCTGGCTACTCAGCTCCGAGGTCCCCCACTGTGATACACAGCCTGCCGAGGCTTCCTCCAGGCCTGATGGCACTGGCTCGCAACTGGCAGTCACTGCTCTGGTGCCAGGCCAGCCAGAGGAAGGCCCCACTTACAACAGCTAGAAATGCCAAGCACAGAGGCTTACACCTGTGTACTCAGCCCACTGGCTCTGACACTGGACACAGGTAGGGCAGACAGGAATCAGGACACAGATCTTTCCTCCCCCTAGGCACTAGCTCTGCTCCCCTACAACCCCCAACCTCACTGTAGGGGCTGAGAAGCTCCAGAGACTAGAGCTTCTGGGCACTAGTGGGCACCACACAGAAATATGAAACGTCAAAAGAACATGGTTCAGACCAAAATCTCACAGACCCCAGATAAAGGGCCAAATGAAACAGAACTCACCAATCTTCCTGAAAGAGAGTTCAAAATAAAAATCATAAACATGCTTATGGAGGTACAGAAAAATATTCAAGAACTAAGGAACGAATTTAAGATGGAGATTCAATCATTAAGAAATTCCATATCTGAAATGAAACATACAATGGAGGGATTTAAAAGCAGATTAGATGTAGTAGAACAGACAGTAAATGGAATAGAAATTAGAGAAGAGGAATACAAAGAAGCTGAGACAGAGAGAATAAAGAATCTCTAAGAATGAAAGAATATTGATATAACTGTGTGACAAATCCAAACAGAACAATATTCATGTAATAGGGGTACCAGAAGAAGAACAAGAGAGAAAAAGGGATAGAAAGTGTCATTGAGAAGGTAATTGCTGAAAACTTCCCCAATCTGGGGAAGGAGATAGTCTCTTAAGACACTCAGATGCACAGATCTCCCAACAAAAGGGACCCAAGGAAGGCAACATCAAGACATATAATAATTAAAATCACAAAGATCAAGGATAAAGACAGACTTTTAAAAGCAGCTAGAGAGAGAAAAAAGATCACATACAAAGGAAAACCCATCAGGCTATCATCAGATTTCTCAACAGAGATCTTACAGGCCAGAAGGGAGTGGCATGATAATATTTAATGCAATGAAACAGAAGGGCCTCGAACCAAGAATAGTCTACCCAGCAAGGTTATCATTTAAATTTGAAGGAGGAATTAAACAATTTTCAGATAAGCAAAAGCTGAGAGAATTTATCTCCCACAAACCACCTCCACAGTGCATTTTGGAGGGACTGCTATAGATGGAAGTATTCCTAAGACTAAATAGATGTCACCCAAGGGATAGACAAAGAGTACAGAATATGATTCATAACATACAAAGAATGGAGGAGGAAGAAAAAGGAGGAAAAAAAAAAGAATCTTTAGGTTATGTCTGTAATAGCATATGAAGTGAGTTAAATAAGACTGTTAGATAGTAAGGGAATTACCCTTGAACCTTTGGTAGCCACAAATCTAAAGCTTGCAATGGCAATAAGTACATACCTATTGATAATCACCCTAAATGTAAATAGTCTGAATGCACCTATCTAAAGACATAGAGTCACTGAATGAATAAAAAAAACAAGACCCTTCTATATGCTGCCTATAAGAGACTCACTTCAAACCCAAAGACATACACAGACTGAAAGTAAAGGGATGGAAAAAGATATTTCTTGCAACTAATATGGAGGAAAAAAGCAGGAGTTGCAGTACTTGTATCAGAC